CGAGGTTCGGTCACCACGACCTACGTCCCCGCTCCTCACCTCGAGGAGATCTCTACTATCACAATCCGATTTGGAAGCCGAAACTTCTACACACTCGGTTTACAAGTTTACCAAAAACTCTCACACAACAAACACTATGCAATCATACTTTACACACTAAGCGTAGGAACCTAGCCCGTGTCCTCCTCCTCAAGTGCTCGGATGCAACCTCTCCCTAGGTTCGTCAACCGACGCCACTCCTATTGGATTTGACTCCGTCTCACGCCTTACACTTCTGTCGGTGTACAAGTGTATTACAAGTGATACAAACAACAATGGTTAAATACAATGGTTTGTTCTTGATAACAAATGAGAACGCAAATAAAGCTCACACTCACTAAATCACACATCACTACCCACAATATATAGTATGGAATATTAAGCTCAATACAGAAAGCTCACACTCACTAAATCACACATCACTACCCACAATATATAGTATGGAATATTAAGCTCAATACAGTGTGTGTGATAACAGTGAATGAAAATACTACCCACAATATATAGTATGGAATATTAAGCTCAATACAGTGTGTGTGATAACAGTGAATGAAAATACATAACTCAATAAATATAGCTAAGATATGAAAATAAAATTATAAGCTATATGAAAAGATGAGTTAGAAAAACTTTTCAATAAACAAGAGGAATAGTAGAGGATGATGAGGATAGGATCCTCAGTTGAATTGAATACCTCTTCTTGTTGTAGAAAACTTCGTTTGAAACAGATAATTAAAATCAGCTTAAACAGCTCTTTAAACACACTAAAGATTTTGTTAAAACTTCACTGTAAAAAAAAACTTGGTGGTTGAAAGAGAAGAGCAATGGGGTATTTATACCCACTCAAAATATCAGCCAAAACCAACTTGAAAAGACCAAAATAACCCTAGAGAATTAAATTAGAATATAGCCGTTGAGAAGGTAATGATGAGTTCGGCGGCCGACCGTGGGAATCTCACGGTTGACCGTGAAGCACAAAAATACAGAAAAACAAATTTTATAAGCTGGCGGTCGACCGCGAAAATCTCTGGATGGAGCCACGGTCGAACGTCACGGTCAACTGTGATCCAATAAAAGGCAGACTGAGAAAATTAACTACTGGCGGTTGACCATGGCGGTCTACCGCAAACTGATACATGTTAATTGAAAGGTTTTGGGTTAATTTTGAAAATATGTTAAAAATATCAAATCAATTCCAAAAATAGTAAAACTTTGGGGAAAGTTTCTAAATGATGAAATAAACATGTTTGAAAAGGAATTTTTGGAAAAGCAATTTTTGTTTGTGAAAACTCACTGTCTTTGAAAAGTGTTCATAAAACCTGTTTTTCGCGAACATGAAAATTAAAATATAACTTGTAAACTTGTATCTTACATATAAACATACGATATATGTAAGCAAACTAAACTTATACCTAGGTGAATGCACACACATGAACTGGAATCTTTAACTCTTGATTGTCGTGTGTTGAATTACCTGTAAGGAGAAAAACCAAAACAACAAAGACTACAAAACATATTAGCTATAAATTATTTGACAAATCATCATCAAAACTATAGGGCCAACACTTTCTTCACAAAACAAACACACCAAAACTCAGAATTAAACTGGTATAAACACTCTTTAAAACCTTGTGAAAACTCTTATTAAAAAACTAAGTGTTGAGGGCTATTTATAGCCTCTCAAAAGAATCAGCGAAAACTAGCCGTTATGCAGAAAATCTCCGACCAATCGACTGTTAGGTAGGGATTGGTCGACTGATAATATGACTATTGGCTGATCTGGCAAAACAGCACAAATCGGTCGACTGGTGGAGCTACATCGGTCGATTGATGGTAATACATCGGTCGACTGATATGAGTCGATCGGTCGACTAATAAACCTAAGAAAATAGATGCTAAAAAAATATCTCTAGTCGATCATTTGATGCTCATATGTCGGTCGACCGATTACCTATTCTCGGTCGACCGATGAGATTCTTTTGGTCGACCAATAACATATATTCCCGATATTGATTTTACTTGAAAACTTGATTTTCTAAATTTGTTTTAACATAGTAAATTAACTCCATAAATTGTAAAACTTTGGAAAACATTTATATATATGAAAATGAACATGTTAAAGAAGAAATTTCTTAAATAGCATTTCCTAAGTGTGAAAACTCAAGTATTTACAAACCGTTAAAAACACAAAATCGTCAAAACTTGATTTTTGATAAAATCATTCCAGCTGATTTTTGATAAAATCATTCCAACAGGTTTTGAAATACTTTTTAACAGATTAATAGATTTGGGAAAAGATATAAAATCGTGTCATTAGGTTTATAATCCGAAAACGCGATAAATCGAAAATACTGTGTGTGTGTGTGTGTGTGTGTGTGTGTATATGATTTGAGCTTTAAGCATAACATATAAAGTAAACACACCTAGACTATCAAAAACACTATATCAAACAATGTTCTTCAATAAGCTCATATTGGTTGCGGATGAAGCGAGGATAAATCTTGACTTGAATTGCGATAGATTCATTCTAATTTCCTCTAACCTCCTTTAGATATCATCTGAAGGCGCAAGTCCAACAAACCTCCGACAATGATCTTTGTGTAGGATACCTAACAATCAAATACAGACCCTCGACAAACGATGTTAGGAATTGTTTATTAATCATCAAAACTAGATTAGACAATAGGCTCATAAACATGAGACCTAATAGATACTATATTGCAAATCATTTGATGGCATACTATTTAGATGTTTGTCATCAAGCTAAGCTCAAGAAGCACTTAAAGAAGCCCATGATGGCACGTGTGGGGCTCATCCGACTTGGTCGCCTAGGTTATTATTAGCTGATGATGATTGCAGGTGCAATGGCTTATGCCAAGCGATGTTGTGCATGTCAGTTGTATGTAGACTTCTTACACTAACCATGAAGAAACTACATCTAATTATTGCCTCATGGTCGTTCTAGATGTAGGGATTGACATTACTAGGCCGATCAGCCCATCGTCCACCTAAGGCCACCAATTTATCTTGGCCATCACATATTACTTCTCCAAGTGGGCCAAAACCATCCCACTAAAAGAAATTAAAATATCCAATGTGGTTGAGTTCATGAAACACTACACCATTTATTGGTTTGATGTTGTGCCCTAGAGGATCATCGATGATAACAATCCTCAATTTATCAATTGACCATTTTTTAAATTCTACAATAAGTTAAGAATTTAGGATATGGATTTTATGCCATGCAATCCGGCTATTAATGGTCTAACCAAAGCATTTTGCCTCTTCCAACAACTAGGATTGAGATGAGAAACTTAGAGAATGTCATTTGGGCATATGAAACAACAGTCCGCACTCCCACGGACGCTACACCTTTCTCCTTGGTCTACGGGTGCAAAGCTTTGGTACCACTAGAGATTCAAATTCTATCATGAAGAACTGCTCTCACAGAGAAGATGATGACTGAAGAGAATCATCAAAGGCATCTTCAAGAATTAGAGGTGCTGGATGAGTTGAAACTCAAAGCTCAACAACTAATCGAGATGTACTAGTTTTGGATATTAAGAGACTTCAATAGAAGGGTCAAAGAATGATACTTTAAAGAAGGAAGCCTGGTCTTGGCCGTCCATCGACACATGGTCATGATACATAAGACTAATGGTAAATTTTAGCTAAAATGGGAAGATCCGTTTGTAGTAGAGACCCTCTACTCAAACGAGGCATACCATTTGATCAACCTAAATAGCAGCAGACTTGGGTGACCAATCAATAGGAAACTTCTCGAGAAATATTGCCCTTCAATTGAGCAGTTTTCATCTCACCATGGAGTTATTAATTATGTTTAAAACTTTCCCTAGCAATTCATCAAGTTACAATATGCTTCTGCTTGATCCAGGTTCCTTTTGCCACTATTAAGTTAACATTACACCTCTGAATAGTTTGCACTTTCTTTGGATTTGATTGGTTAACACCACACCTCTGTGAGTCCCTCCCTCAAAAATAAATTGGTTAATATTACACCTCTGTCGATCCTTCATACCGTGAAGTTAACATTGCACTTCCAAATAGTAGTTATCCCTTGGACTCCCTTGAATCTAATTGGTGAACATTACATTACACCTTTGTTGGTCATTTTATTTGGCATGTTAACACTACACATCAATAAAAATCCTTAATAGTATTGTGTTAAAACTACACCTCTGAATTATACTCGTTCTACAAATCTCCTACATTAACATCACAACTCTATTCATTTATCCCATTGACTAGTTAACATTACACCTCTGTCGACTCCTCTTTTTATATCGATGAGTTGAATCCTACCACTCGATCACTCTCCCTCATAGTCATTAGTGATACTAGATATTGTACAATATGTTAACATTGTACACCTATCATTTAATAATAAAGCAAATTCTTTATTACTATCAAAAGAAACAAAGTTACAAATGGTTTGGTTCAAAATCAAATGATGCAATATGAAAAAAGGCCAGATCATTGGCAAAGCAAATACCTGACACTAGTAGAAAAATGAGAATTCTAGACAGAAATTTCCGTCTAGATTGCTCGTGTTTCCATCAAGGTTGGTTCATCTAGACTGAAATCCGTCTAGTTTGCTCCGTGTAGAATATTTCCGTCTAGGTTGGGGCAAACTAGACGGAATTCCATCTAGGTTGACAACCAAGACGGAAAGCAACCTAGACGGAAGTAAAAAATCCGTCTAGGTTGCTACCTAGACGGAATTCCGTCTAGGTTGCCAACCTAGACGGAATTCCATCTAGGTTGCTCAGCTACAATTTTTTTTTTATTGCAAAACCCACATTGCATGCTATATAATATCACATGTACACAATATTATACAACACCAAATCATATTCATATCCAACACAATCGATCTAATTATATTTCAATATCAAATATAATTATATTCAAATAATACATTCACCAAAAAACAAGAAAGATACATAAATTTTTTACATAGATTATAAAGAATACAATTGTTTACATAACTTGATGAACTTTGCATAATTTATAGAATCCAATTGCATTTACTCCTCCAAGTTGTTGAAGCATCATGTTTCTTCCTCCTTGATCCTACATTATACAAAATTCAACATCAAATAGTTCATGCCTGAAATACATTTAGAAAGCATTAACTTTGCAAAAGAACTAATAGGGAAATCAAAATATTGGATTGAGTGTTTTTAACTATACGCATATATGAAATTTACCTCTAGTCGACTTGAATTATCTGTAAGTGTAACATCTGCTCCCAGTTTTGCCGCTACCAAGCCCGACAAAGAAGTTCCAATGCCAAGCTGCTCCAAGAAAGGCAAGGAATCAAATTATTTGCATTTGAAAGGTCTGAACAATTAACAAAGCAAAAAAATTTCAGATTCTTCAAACCACAACATAAAGCAAACAAAATAAAAAAGATATCACATCTAAAGATTTAAAGATTTAACGCTACAAAATCTACAACTCATCCATCTAATTACATGAAGATATCACATTTCCAATTACAAAATGAAAATTTGAGGCATCAAACAAAAAAAAGATTACAAATCGCTGAGCACTCGAAGAACAAACTGTCTCTGAAATCTGAATAATGATACACTAAATAATGATCAGGAATATTAGCTTCTTAACATCACTCTAAAATTCAACATCAAATAGTCCATGCCATGAAATACACTACAGAAAATGATACACATGCATGATACAAAAGTACCTTATAAAGACTTTCTTTTAGCACATACAAATGTGACCACAAATTGTCTCTGAAATCTGAATGCATAGCCCAATATGCATATCCAGTGCTAGTGAGTCCGAGTGATGGGGGATGAAACAAGAAATAAAAAAATTGTCAACCATATATTCAATCATAATCATCAAGGTGAGAGAGAGGCAGAACCTCAGGATAACGCATTATAGCCTGATTTGCACTATCTGGATCCAAGGGAAGAATATTATAAGGAACATATATCTTAGTTTTCTCCTCAACTTTACTGGATCCAAGGGAAGAATATTATAAGGAACATATATCTTAGTTTTCTCCTCAACTTTACTATGAGCTTCTAATATATACACAAACCACCAATTGATAATCAATGAAGCAAGAACCAAAGGAAAAATGAGATGTCATTTGCAATGAAAAATGAGATGTCATTTGCAAGGAAAAATGAAATCAAGAACCAAAGGAAGTAATTAGCATTTACCTCATGGTCAACCTCAATAGATTGTGTCAAATTAACAGCCCTTAAGACTTCAAATAGAACAACAGTAGTTTGATATGCCTTGGTAAGTTGAGCACTAGAAGAATCAAATATCAGGTCAAATCCATCACAGTATATATTCAAAACAAATGAAGCAATAAGTCCCTTCTTCTATTTATCTTTAAATAGATAAATGTTGCAACATATCAAAAGAATAGACACATACAACAAAGAAAAGCGACAGATATATGTGCATACAAGCAGGCGTGACTCTTTCCAAAATCTTACCGGTCTGCTTTATCAGCAGCATAACTTGAAGAGCTTGGATATACTTCTTGTAACAGATTGCCCAAAGCAGAAGTAATGGGCATCCATCCAACTATCCTTTACACCTGGATATTCTCCCAAATAGAAATCCTGTTTTGTACCAGAAAATTAAAAACTCAGACGCTGGTATTCATTTCCAATAACCAATAGAATAAACTTGTTAGTAACTTCATTATCATGTCACACATGAAAGGTAAACAGCATATGTCATGTATCAGCTGTCAGAATTAAACAGTATTTATAAGTGGTGGCTACCTTCATGTTTAGATCCTTGACAAGATTAGGAGTACCAAAAGTGCATCGAGCTCCAGTTCCATAAAGATCGAACACCTGTGAGAAATAAATCTTAGGTACACAAGTCAAACTTTTGATTGCAGGAGTAGGAATACTGGAATAGTACTCAGTAGACTTATATATTTTGGTAACTATGAAACATGACAAAAAAAGATACATAAGCATTAGCTAAGAAATGAACTTGTTTAATTCTGACAGCACCCCCCCCCCCCTTAGCGGTCATTCAAGAATGCCATAAAGGAAATCCATCTACAAATGGGCATTCTGAAAATGGGCTGAACAGTTCCATTTACAAATGGGCATTCTGAAAATCTTCTATTTAGATTCAAAGTTGAAATCTTGGAGGGCTAAAATTAAATTGAATGGAAATCATGAGTTATATATATTAGTATTTCATGAAGACTTTAGAAAATTTGAGTAGATAGATTGATAGATATGTGTGTGTGTGTACATATGCAAAAAGTTTAACTAAGATAAGAATTGAACTAAGTATATAACTTCGTCAGTATGACTAAGATACAATGCAGAAAGTTTAACTTGAACTAGCCACCACAAACATATAACATCTATTAGTAATTCAAACATTAATAACTTAAAAGTTGGCATAGAATGCATATTATAGCTCAGATGATAGCACAAAAGGATAATTTACACAAGCCAAGAGGACTAAGTAAACAAGATAGATCATGCCACCTAACTCCTTCCCCATGACTAAGGACTAGATGCTTGATCTCTGTTATATAAAGCTCACAAAAAAACCCTAATTTCCACAAATCTCACATCAAAATCCAAAACGACAGAGAAAACCCTAAACACTCACCTGTACTCTTCAAGGAACCGGTCGTCGTCAAGATCGGGATCGTCCTCGATGTCCTCGAGCTCGTCAAGGTTGGGAACGTCAGAGGGAGTGAAGGGTGGAGGTTTGAAAGGGGAGGGGCAGGGGGGGATTCGGAGGAAGGGGAGGGGACTGCCGGCGGTGGGAACGGAGGCGGGGTGCAGGATTCGATGGAGGTGGAGGTTTGAAATGGGAGGGGCAGGGGGGATTCGGAGGAAGGGGAGGGGACTACCGGCGGTGGGAACGGAGGCGGGGTTTGGAAAGGGGAGGTTTGAAAGGGGAGGGGCGCAGGATTCGGTGGAGATGGAGGTGGAGGGGGGATGAGGGGGGGTTTGGAGAGAGAGAGAGGGTTTTGCCGTTTGGGGGGTTTGTAGATGGAGAGCGGAGAAAAAAGAGGGGGAAATGAAAAATAGGCGGGGAAATGAAAAAAAGAGGGGAAGCTCGTTAAATTTTTTTAGACAACCTAGACGGAATTTCCGTCTAGGTTGATTCAATCTAGACGGAATTTCCGTCTAAGTTGAGTGTTTATTTAAAAAAAATAAAAACCGTCTAGTTTGTCAATCTAGACTGAAATTTCCGTCTAGATTGACTCAAACTAGACGGAACAAGCTAGACAGAATTTTTTCCGTCTAGTTTGAGGCAAACTAGATGGAAAAAAATTCTGTCTAGTTTGTTCTGTCTAGTTTGTTCATTTTCCTACTAGTGTGATGTTTTCAACACATTTGGCCATTCTAGCCTCGTGTGTTCGATGGCCCCCTTCATAGCTTGTTCTCATAGAGCCTTCAGTTTAGCTGGAACTACTTGAGTTTCAACTACGTCCAATCGAGCTTGCTCCATCCTCAAGCTGTCCTTTGAGCTTGCTCATCAGCTAATTCCACAGATATGGACTTGAGCTCCTTCTTTTGTTTCTAAACTACCTCTAACCTAGCCTATGCCTCAGCTATGGTAGTCTTAGCCTCATAAATGGGAGCTTGCTTGTTAGAAAAGACATCAACAATTTTTGCTTTTGTCATTTATAGAAGTAAGGAAAACAGTCAAGTCCTTCTTCATATGTTGGTTGACCTCTTCTATCTCTTTTTAAACCTCCTCCTCTGGTTGCGGCAGTGCACCATAAGATGTTGGAACTCAATATTTGTAATAGCAGTGACATTGGCCTTGTGGAGAGTTTACAACTCCAGAAAGTGGAGTTCCGCTCAATCAATCATCCTTTGATAAGGCTCAGTGCGTTCCATTTTGATAGTTGACACAAGATCCGAGTAAACCTCTCAACACTTTTGACTAAATAACTTCATCAGGATCTAAATCAAAATTTGGATCTCTAACTCATCTGAATCATTAGAGTCCACAGATGAAGGAATCTCGATTGCCGCTTGCTTTGATGTGGTCATTTCAGTCGCAACGGCTAAGGCTTCGGTTACAATAGAAGGAGTGGCTGGAGTAGAAAAAGCCATAAAAAATTTGCCTCCAACTAGCATAAAGAACAAAACAAGTGAAGCCAACATGCTTGAAACATCAATGAGAGAGGGTGAAGCTTGAGCCGACACAACTAAAAGATCAGAAGGCCATAAGACCATGGCTATCATTGTATCCATGATGATAGACTCATTTGTAATGGTGAAAATTTTAGCTTTAGACAACTTCTTAGCCGTAGATGTAGATCCACTCTCCCGTTCAACTTGAGGTTTAGGTTCAGGCTTGGCCCTTAGTTTAGCTTCCTTAGGGAGCTTGGAATCATTGCGTCCCTAGCAGACTCAAGTGTTGTTAAGTCCTCAATGGGAATCGAAGTTTAGACAATAGGAGAAGGTGTGGAAGTCATAGTTGTAACGACTTCAGGTTCAAGTTCAATATCTGCAAAATAAAAAAGATGCAGCGTTAGTCATCGAACTAAAATGACTATATCATTCCTATAAATGAAAGCATACCTGAGATGTGGGAAGATCCGCCTGCTCATCTCCATGACTGGATTCATCAAGGTCGATGATATAAGCATCTGTCTCATAATCGATCCTCTCCTCCTTGTTTGAATCTATCTAGTCGGTTTGTATAGATTCTTTATCTACAAACCAAATGCATACATTGTTAGAAAACATATTCATCAAAGAAAAATGATGACAAATAAGGAATTTAACCAAAGCGACTGTATACTCAGCCATTGGTCCATGTGTTGGGGCCTCAGGAGATTTGTCCTTCATTAGCGATTCCAAGTGTTGGCGCTTAGGATATTTCAAGGAGCATTGAGGCTGTAGCGGTCTCTTCCCACGAGTATCTCCTCCTGTCACTTCAGAGCAGGTCGATGGCTCTCATATGCTAATGTTTGACGGGCCTATGCGTTGGCAACTTCTATACATCTGAATCATCATCATAGTCTTAATGTTGACCTCACCCTACCTCTACAGGCTATTCACTGAGCCCGAGTGCTCTGCTCTTGGATCTTTCCTGGAAGCTACTTTATACTTTTGAATCATCCACTTCACTCTAGTCTTGTTGATCTTGAATTGTAGGCTAATGATATCATTCGTCACAGAAAACCATTTACAAAACCCTAAAGTCATATAACAGCTAGGGGTTTTGTACAGCAGATTAAAATTTGCTCCAGTACATTCGGAGACGATGTGATACCAAGCGTGGGCTCCATCTAC